TGGGGACATGGGGACAATGGGGACATCGGGGACACTGGGGGCACTGGGATGGGGGCACGGGGGACACTGGGGACACTGGGATGGGGACACTGGGACGGGATCATTGGGGACATCGGGGACATGGGGGCACTGGGATGGGGACACTGGGGGCACTGGGGGCACTGGGATGGGGACATTGGGGACACGGGACATTGGGGGTGCCGTGGTGGCACTGGGGGCACTGGAATGGGGATATTGGGGGTGCCGTGGTGGCACTGGGATGGTGACATTTGGGACACTGGGGGACAGTGGGGGTGCCATGGTGGCACTGGGATGGGGACATTGGGGGTGCCGTGGTGGCACTGGGGGAACTGGGAGCGCTGGGACAGGGACACTGGGGGTGCCAGGGTGGCACCGGAATGGGGACATTGGGGGTGCCGTGGTGGCACTGGGATGGGGACATTTGGGACACTGGGGACACTGGGGACATTGGGGACATTGGGGGTGCCATGGTGGCACCGGAATGGGGACATTGGGGGCACTGGTGGCACTGGAATGGGGACATTGGGGGTGCTGTGGTGGCACTGGGATGGACACCAGAATGGGCAGTGTGGTGGCACTGGGAAGGGCATCAGGACCTTGCTGTCCCCTGCTGTCCCCATTCCCGTGTCCCCATTGCTGCTGTCCCCATTCCCGATGTCCCCCCGCTGTCCCCAGGCCAAGGTGGAGGTGGCGGTGGCACAGGAGCTGCAGCTCAGCGAGGACACGTGGCCCGAGGATGTCACCAGCCAGGACATGGAGGACGGGCTGGCCACGCGCGTCACCGGGGTATGGCCCTGTCCCCCGGGGGGGTGGCTCAGGGGACAACGCGGTGGTGGCAATGTCCTCGCACCCACGGTGGCAGTGTCCCCGTGTCACCCTACCCGCGGTGGCCGTGTCCCCTCACCCACAGTGGCCCTGTCCCCATGGTGGCCCTGTCCCCTCACCCACAGTGGCCCTGTCCCCTCACCCATGGTGGCTCTGTCCCCACGGTGTCCCTGTCCCCACGGTGTCCCTGTCCCCACGGTGTCCCTGTCCCCACAGCTGCTCCGGGCACACGTGGACCGAGCCCCCCAGGTGACCCCCGAGTTCGGGCGGGAGATGGCGCACAGCCTGCTGGGAGTGCTGGTGGCATTCCTGCACAGGTGGGACACTTGGGGACACGCGGGGACACATGGGGACATGGGGATGGGGGACACGGGGACACCAGGGTGGGATAGGGGACAGGGACACAGGGACACAGGGGACACCAGGGACAGGCGTGGGGACACAGTGACACACAGGGCGGGGCTGGGGTGGCACAGGAGCCGTGTCCCCCGTGTCCCCCGTGTCTCCCGTGTCCCCCGGGTGTCCCCGCGGTCACCCGGCGGTGTCCCCAAGTTTCCAGCGGAAGGTCGAGCGTTTCCTGGAAGCCCCGGGCGAGTTCCCCTCCCCCCCCGAGGGCGCCCCCGGCCGCGCCATCGCCTTGGCCAACTGCTGCCCCCCGTTCAGGTGAGGCCACCCCCTGTCCCCGCGTCCCCAATGTCCCCAAAGGGACACCGTGACCCCCTCGGTGTCCCCTCAGAGCCTTCGCCGAGCGCCTGGCGCAGTTCGGGCACCCCGAGAGCGAGGAGCCGCGGCGCCAGGCTCACGCCGCGCTGGACAGGGTCACCCGCGTCTGCGGCCACGTCCTCACCCGGCGACTCTTCGAGGAGCTCAAGGTGTCCCCAAGGGCGGGGTGGGGACNTAACCCGTGAGTGACCGGGGAGGGGTCACGTGGGTGACGTGGGGTCCCCTCCGTGTCACCCGTGGGGTCCCCAGTGTCGCATTTGTCCCCTCCATGTCACCCGTTGGGTCCCCAGTGTCGCATTTGTCCCCTCCCCGTCACCCGTTGGGTGCCTTTTGTCACCGCATTCTGTCCCCGTGCCATTCGTGTGTCCCTCAGTGTCACCAGAGTCTCATTGCTGTCACCCGTGGAGTCCCCTCCCTGTCACCCCTGTGTCCTCCTGTGACATCGGGGGCCTGTCCCTGTCACCCGTGGGATCCTCTGTGTCATTCTGTGTCACTCTGCCATTCCTGTGTCCCCCAGTGTCACTGGGCTCCTGCCCCGGCGCCATCGATGTCCCCTGGTGCCTGCCAGAGTCCCCTCGTTGTCACCCGTGGGGTCCCCTGTGCCATCCCGGTGCCATCGGGGGCGCGTCCCTGTCCCTCGTGAGGTCCCCCTGTCACTGCGTCCTCTCTCTGCACCATCGCTGTGTCCCACAGTGCCACCAGGGTCCCATCCCCGTGCCATCCCCGTGCCATCCGTGTCCCCCAGTGCCATCCCGGTGCCATCCCGGTGCCATCCCAGTGTCCCCAGTGTCCCCCAGTGCCACCAGGGTCCCCTCCCGGTGCCATCCCGGTGTCCCCAGTGTCCCCCAGTGTCCCCCAGTGCCACCCCGGTGCCATCCCGGTGCCATCCCGATGTCCCCAGTGTCCCCAGTGCCATCCCAGTGCCATCCCGGTGTCCCCCAGTGTCCCCCAATGCCATCCCGGTGTCCCCCGCCCCCGCCGCTCGCTCCCCCGGTCCCCCCCCTCCCCGTCGCGGTGCCCGAGCGGAACCGGGGCTGACCCTGCCCGGCCGGGGAGGCCCCTCCGGGGCGGCGCTTCCTCAGGAAACCCCCGGCCAGCGCCAGTGTCACCGCAGCC